GAGAGAGAGAGAGAGAGAGAGAGAGAGAGAGAGGTGGGTGGGGGAGGAATCAGATTTGGTATTTTAGAAACATCACGTTGAAGAGGTTGTTGAAATTAAAGAAGAGGGAAAGCAAGAAACAGGAAAACTAGGTGGTAATTCCAGAGACTTGTAAGGCTGAGGTAGGAGGATGGTAGGTTCCAGTCAAGCCTGGGMAACTTCATGAGACCTGTCTTAAAAAATAAAAAGAAATTAAAARGAATGAAGGTGTAACTCAGTGGTAGAGTGCCCCTGGGTTCAATCTCCAGTAGGAGGAAGGGAAGGATTGAAGCAAGGGGAAGACTACATAGGGGATAACTGTTGAGTGAAGATGAATGTTCAAATTAATGGAACATAAAAAATGAGAGAGATCACTATTATTTTGTTTTGCTTAAGTAACTCCAAAGACAAAGATAACCATAATTATGCATATCTATATATTGTCTTAAGCAATATCAAGAGCATCTGCTGAGAATAGAAGRTGTGGGAATTGAGCAAGGATAATGTCAAAAATGATGGAATTCAGAACAATCACCTGAAAACCAAATAAAACCAATGTCATGGATTGTTTATTGTTAATTCACTGTGACCACTGAGGTTGGTCACAGTGAATTAGTATAGGGGCCATTCAACATTRACAATTGATCAACATATTAATGTGCCCCCCCCACTTAAGTCTAGGTATGAAGTAGCTTATGGGATTGACCAAGATGAGTGCATTTGAAGGGCATCAATATAAAAGGTTAGGTGCCAAGAAGGGTTGGTTTTTATCGAGGGTGGGGAGAGTCATTGTGATATAATTGTGATATAATGTTGGTTTGCCAAGATAGAAGAATCTATGGTAGTTTTGACTCGTCAGATTCTCAGTAGATTACAGGTCGAGGAGCCTAAAATGTGTCTGTGCAGCAATGGGGGGTGGACTTCATTGGTCTTAGTTGCTTTGTGGCCTGGTCACGGGTTCTGTAGTGGCAGCTATTAAGCGGGGAGTCCCAATGATGATTTAGGAAGCTGAGTGGGGAGACTGTATTGGATYTTTGACAAGTTGTGTGGAGGCATGTGTGGCCCATGGAAATTGAAGTGTTTTCATAGAAGACTTGACACTGGGACCTAGAGCTCTGGATAAATGGTGGGTTAGGTATAGATAATTGAAGGTGCAGATTCAATTGTGGTCATTTAAGCTGTGGAAAAGTTTTTTTTTTTTAGAGAAGGGTATATAGTTAGAGGAAAAAGTTATCCTTTGCTCTTTCCTTTTGTTTCTCAAATCTTTCATTTAAAATTCTCTTCGTTTACTAGCTTAGGGTGTCTTGGCAAGGTATCATTTAGATCAATGGTCTAATTATATATACTCTACATCTGTTGTGGTCCATRTAACTTAAACACTTAATGCATAAATCTTATACTAATGACCTGATGTTCTCTATAATTTTTAAGGCATGTTTCAGATCTGATTTATCTTTGTTTYTCTTCATTGTTTGCAATGATAATGGGTTCACAGGTTGCAACAGATTCTCTGGGTGACTGGTTACAAATCCAGATTCCTAGGACTGCCAACCCCCTCTTGTGAGTAAGATTTCTGAGTTAGTAAGTCTGAGTRTAAACTAGATAGCTCTATTTTAAGCCAAGTTCCAAGTGATTTCGACACATATTGAGGTTTGAAAGTAATTTCATTGCACACAGGATCTTATCATACCTAGGAGATCTTCAAATCTGAACTATTAAATGAATAAAGCCCACTCTTCAGAGCCGTTTTTCTTACCAAATGGTTATATTAGTTCAAATGCTCTTATGGGTTAGAAAGGCATGAGGTACCCTCTAGGTGAAACATGGCTCTT